GTGAGACACTGCACAGGAATGCAAGTGCATTGAATTGAGAGCTGACGGACAGTCCCCACCTCAATTGTGCTGGAGTTCCGTAACTACACAGACCTGTCAGAACTCAAAACCACACCCCAAAAAGGGTACGTTCTGTAACATGCCAATTAATTATATCAATATGCCTTACTTTAAAAAGGTTATTTGATCCAATAATTTCACACCTAGGAAGCAATTCTAAAATCAGGAAAAACGTGGATAGAAATTGTAAATATCACATAACTTCCTTCACAAGAACAAAAGTGAGAGTAGGAAGAGCACTCAGTGCTCCTGCCGAGGGTCTGGGTTCAGTTCCCAGGGCAGGATCCCCAGTTCCAGAGGAGCCTGCCCCCCAAGGGCACCTGCAGGCAAGTGGTGCAGTACGCAAACTCAGGCAGACACACAGCATCCACATTTTAAACCTAGGGGCATACAAACTGTGACAAATTCACACAGCGGGTCAATATGTTTCCAAAAACTGCTGACTGAAAAACGTTTCTACCATATGAAGGGAGGGGGTTAGGAGCTACACATGTGCCATCTCCACTATTTAAAATGCACACACTGTTCAGTGCTAGTTTCCGTACAAATGTTACCTGATGCAGAGCACCCCCCCCCAGCCACTAAGTATAAAACAGCTCTCACCCTCCATGACTATTACCATTCCATAACTCAGCTTTCTTCGAGATGGCCCTTAGCATGACTCAGCACACCATTTACTTATTTAGCCTGCTCTCCCTACCTCAGCAAAGAGAAGTGCCTGGCATACAGTAGAACCAACCCAATCTTGGTGGAATTGTGATTTGCCCATGCTCATCAACATGGAATGCCAGCGTGTTTTACTCCCAGCAAGCCAAAACACATCCTGCATGCAAGTCACAGCTACAGCGTCAAAGTCCACAATGGTTTAGACCTGGATCTCTTCGAGCTTAAAGGCTGCCTCCACCCCCCTATCTCCAGAACCTATTACAGGCCTACAGCAAGCAGAATCTCGTGAGAGAATTGTCAAGTTGAGGGACGACATAGGCACATACAGGATGCTCCTTCTCGGGGAGGGAGGGAGGCCTTTGTCCAGACAGGCCCCTTTGCCACCCTCAAGAGCATAGTCTCCACCATGAGCCGCAGGCAGGGCCAGGTGAAAGATCTGTACATGTCATGTTCGAAAGATAAGCAGGGCCAGTCCAGAGCTGGACTTAAAACTGTGCCTGTCACTATGGATGATGCATAAGATGGCAGCCATCAGAGAATGAGAGAATGACAACTTACCGACATGAACAGAGAAGGCCCCTTCCTAAGGGAGCCAGTGTGGCCCCTGAGTAACAGCAGATCACAAAGCTACGTGGTATCCTGACCTCTCCTCACCCCGGTAAGCGCCCTTTCCCTACATTTCTGCTCATGCCTTCTAAACATTCAGGAATTCAGTGGGGGGGGGAAACTAACATTCTTCAGCAAAAGCTAAAAGAGGGGATGATGCTCAAATAGAATCATAAAAACTTAATTTAGCAGTGTATGTATACACAACCCAGAATAGAAAAAGAAGAAGAAGAAGAAGAAGAACAACAACAACAACAACAACAACAACCAGAACTGTAGGCATGAGTTAGGGGCCAAAACAGGAGCCTACAGGAAAGGGGTCAGGCAGAAGAAATGGAAAAGAAATGGAAGACATTAAGTTCAACAAAATAAAACACCCAATATTTGAATTTCTAGTTGAACAAATATCCAGAGACATTCTAGATGGAAAAAATAAGAGTAAGCCATGTGACTCGGAAAGAAAAATGGGTGTCAGTGTTAGGTATTGCCATGAACCCCAGCAAAAGAGCACCTATGCTTGCTACAAGCTGGAGAGGGAGAGAAAAGGGAGGGGGAGGGGGGGAGAGAGCACAGGAGGAGGGGCAGCACATATCTCTCCACATGCATCTGCCCCCTTCCCACTACCCAGCCTGGGCACTGACTGGGGCTGCGGGGTGCTCGGGCCACTGTGAACACTTAAGTGTCCTTAAGGAGCTGAATTGGAGCCTGATATGGACACACAACACAAGCCTTTAACCCCTGCACCTGGGAGGCAGAGACAAGCTGGTCTCTGTCAGTTCCAAGCAGACCAGGGCCACATATTAAGACACTGTCAAAGTCGGTCCGTGGTGGCCCATGCCTTTGATCCCTGCACTCGGGAAGCAGAGGCAGGCGAATCTCTGTGAGTTTGAGGCCAGCCTGGTCTACAAAGTGAGTTCCAGGACAGGCTCCGAAACCCTGTCTGGGGGTGGGTGTGGGTGTGGGTGTGGGTGGGGGGACCCTTATGGAAAGGAAAGGAAAGAAGGAAAAAGGAAGAAAAGAGGAATTCCGGAAACGAGATCCCAATGAGGAGTTTGAAAACCATTCTCAGGCTGTTTAAAACGATACTCAAACTGGTGTGCACATCATTTATTTGCAAAGCATGTTGAAAACTGTATACCGCACCCTTACCCAGAGAATCCTATCTTGGGAGACCTGTGGTGGAGCTCAGAAACAGATTTTTTTTTAACAAGGACCCAAAAATGAGTCTGAAAAAGTAGCCTGTCGGGGTAAGGCTTGAGAACAAAGAAACACACCTTGCCACAGCACTTTCCAATCTTGTCTCTGCACCAGACACCCAACCGCCCTTTAAAAAAAAAAAAAATGTGTGAATCCTTCCTTTTAATGAAGTCGTTTTTCGTGGTGCCGAAATATGAGCAGGGGCCAACCTATCAGAATCACCTCCAAGAGGCTTTCCCACAGCCACACCCCACACACACCAAAGGAAATCTCTGAACAGCCCAGAACGGTGCATTTTTAGCAAGCGTCCTCTAGGGAGCAGAGAGCTCCACACACAGTTATTAACAAGAAAAAAATGTTCTAAAATGGCTTAAACCTTTCAATACGTGAAGACAAGCTGGGGAGAAAAAAAAGGAAGGAAGAAAGAAAAGAAAAATACAAATCCCTCCACTGCTGGCTGACAAAGCAAACATGGACGCGTCCTAAGCAGGGGTGTTTTGCAAGGCGTTTTTAAAAGCCCAGCCCGGGACAATGGGGCCGTGGGTTCCGCAACGAGAGCGCAGGAGAAAACACCACCATCTCCTCCCCGGACAGCCAGAAGAAACGGGGACGGTCAGCCTGGGCGGCACCTGCGGAGGGGACTCACGGGCCGATGATGGGTGTGACAGCCAGGAAAGCAGCCTGGGCCGGAGTCCCCGCCGGTGCCCGCCGGTGCCCGCCGCCCCGGAGCGCCGCGTTCTGCTCCCCGGACCGCAGCGACCTCGCCCTCTGGGCCCCCGACGGCCCGCACCGGCCTCGGGTCACCCGCCCTCTCCCCGGAGCCGCCCGCAGGCTCTCACCCGCTCTCCTGCTCGCCCGCCCGCTCGCCGGCCCCGGAACCTCCGCTGCCCTCCCTCCCCCGGCCTCGCCGCTCCCCACCCCCAGCACTGACCGTGTCACAGCCTGGCCGAGGACGGCGCCCCCGGCTCGGCAGAACCGGCTCGCCGCGCCGCCGCGGACCTTGTCAGAGGACGCGACGCCCGGAGCGCGCAGCCACCAGCGCGGTGCCCGTACCACGCCCGGCGGCCATGTTCCGGAGGACGCTCAGGAACTGACAGGTCACGTGGGGGTGCGCGGTGGGCGGGGCTGCGGAGGCTCCGCCTCCCGGAGGGCGGGGTCGGAGGAGCGGCAGGTGCTTCCCGGCGGCGCGGGACACCTTTCCTCTGTTTAGATTTAGCTCAGTGGTAGAGCCCTCGCCTAGCAAGCGCAAGGCCCTGGGTTCGGTCCTCGCCTCCAGGGGAAAAAAAAAGGGGGGGGGATGGAGACTTTGATTGGTAGATTTGGGCTTAGATGTTCTATTGGTTTTGTCTGAAACAGAGTCAAGTAGCCCAGGCAGGCCTCAAACTCACTAGGTAGCCAAGGATGACCTTCAGCTCCAGATCCTGCCCCCACCTCCCAGCCGACCTGTGCCAGCCACCACACCCAGCTAAAGGCGTGTATTTTTCACAAGTGCCCCAGGCCATATTTTTCCCTGTCATTCACTTTTATGAAAGTCAACTTACAACCCATGCCTGGCAGGATAAGCAGTCATTCAGAGAAATAAACCACAATTACGGCTTTGGAAGCGACTGCCTACTCTCGCCAACGAAGGCAGCTCAGTTCCTCCTTCTGGGGCCCGGGAGACAGATGTCTGTCTGCCTTCTGGTGTCTGCGACTTACATTCTCCATTATCTCAAGAGTGCTCTGCCTCTGGACCCTCCTCCCTCCCGCTCTCTGAGGACCCACCCTCTCCCCCAGGGTTCCTCCCACCTCTGCAGAAAGTGTCTCTGGAAGGTCACCGAATGCCATGGATGATCCCTGTCCACCTCCGCTGGGCACCATCAGCAACCTCATCCTGGCAATGTTCCCTTCACAGCATCTTGTGACACCAACTTCCTGGTCTTTTCCCCGCGCATGGTGCTCCTTCCTAGGTACCACCTGCCTTAATTAGTTCCCAGCTCCAGAGTTCTGCCCACCATCAGTCTCATTCCCCTCCTCACCCGATATGACTGATTTAGCTACTTTCGGGGGACCCGGCTTGCTCCAGGTCCTCCAGGAAGTTGGACGTTATCTCACAGAACACCACATAGTGTCTAACCAGCCCATCGCCTGACTGCACTTGTGTTCATGGCTCAGATCTATGTCAAAGCTTTGGAAGCTCCCCCACAGACAGGACTCTCCAGTCTCCCAGCTTCTCCCCCTGCCCCCACCCCTCAGAACACTAAGCGTTTCTCAAACTCTTCAGTAGGCTTCCTCTTCTGCAGAGTCCGTTCCCCGTGGCACTTGTAGGGGAGCTCTTGGAAGGCTTGTCCCCACTCCCCTTGCCTCTGTTCTGTCTGCCTTCCCCTCAAACCCTGCCACCCCAGCCCGAAGGCTGGCCAGTGTTTTCTGTAATATAGACAGGAAAGGGATAGGTCACCCCCCACCCCCAACTTGGTGGTGCACATCTTTGCTCCCAGCACTCAGGAGGCAGAGGCAGGTGGATCTCTGTGAGTTAGAGGTTGGCCTGGTCTGCATGGTGAGACCCTGTCTCAAAAGAACCAAAAGGTGGAGGAAGAGAAAAAAAGGGGGTCGGGGACAGGCGGCGGTGGTGGTTCATGTCTTTGATTCCAGCACTCAGAGGCAGAGCCAGGTGGATCTCTGTGAGTTCGAGGCCAGCCTGGACTACAGAGTGAGTTCCAGGACAGGCACCAAAACTACACAGAGAAACCATGTCTCGAAAAAAAGAAAAGAAAAAGAAAGAAAGAAAGAAAGAAAGAAAGAAAGGAAGGAAGGAAGGAAGGAAGGAAGGAAGGAAGGAAGAGAGAAAGGAAGAAAAGGAAGCAATGGAGGGATGGACTGTTATCAGTGGCTGGGTGGGAGGGGTCATTGAAAAAAATCTCACTAAAGAGAAATAAATGATGAGAGAAAGTGGTTCCTGTGGCCTTGGGGGCTCCCCGGGGACTCACATTTGTGAGAAAGGGCTCCTACAAGATCCAGACCCTAGCCTTCCACTCAAGCTTCCCAGACCCTCCTCCAAGTAACTGCAGCTCCAGCAGAGGAGTGAGTGGATTAAAGCGGGAGCTTCCACAAGCAGAACACCGGCTTCGGACAGGTCCAGGCTCATGCCTACCTACAGGGGAGGCCTGCCTCCCGGGGGAAACCAGAATGGGTGGCAAGCCCAACCCACTGTCTGCCTTTGGGGACCCCGGAACACAGCACCAACCGAAGTAGGCAGAAGAGCAGAGTGCTGGGTCCCCACTGAGGGGCACCCAGGCCCTGCAGAACCACATTGGGAATTCTCGGTGAGGAAGGTGGCAGACTAGATCTCAGCCTCAGACACAAGTCCTGCTCTCCAGATCCATGGGTCTCCTCTCATCAAAACCAAATCCCTGGGAACATCCAGGGGGCAAATTGCTCTTCCCTGGGCCTATTTTGGGAAGCACTGTGGTTAGGAATGGGAGGCTCGAGTGCCAGGATGCAGGTCCAGCTAAGTGAGGAGAGGCAAGGGAGGCTGAGAATACATTCCAACATTCATGAAACCAGCCCCTGCCCTGGGCGGGCAGGTCTTCATTTGAGGAGGGGAGGCAAACCTCTTAGATTTTTAAAAACGTGAAAACAGACATTTCCACAATAAAACAAGAATTTTAATGACTTAAAAATGACTAGATAGGGCTGGAGAGATGGCTCAGCGGTTCAGAGCACTGGCTGCTCTTCCAGAGGTCCTGAGTTCAATTCCAAGCACCTACAAGGTGTCTCACAACCATCTGTATTGAAATCTGATGCCCTCTTCTGGCCTGCAGGCAGAACACTGTGTGCAAGATAGATAGATAGATAGATAGATAGATAGATAGATAGATAGATAGATAGATAGATAGATAGATAGATAGATAATGACTAGATAGCACCAGACAAAAGTTATGAGCAAAGAAAAAGCATTCAGAATGTGGTGAAGGTCTGGAGAGGTAAGCAGTATTTGCAGGGCAGACCTGGGTGAAGCAGGGCTAATCTGCGAGTTTCTGTCCATCACGTCCTGCCTCAGAGGAAGATTACTCTGACTCAGAGAAAAGTTCCACGTTGACCACAAGTATTTGCCGGCCCTGCCACATGCCGCCGGCTCCTTCCACACCGTGGCCCCTCACACCTGATCTTGCAATGGAACTACTGCAGAACTAAGACGTTTCCGCCTGTTTTGTCTCAAGGACACGCCCCTTCCAGTGTTCTCTGGTCTTTCTCTGGTTCATGTAGCCTGCCTAGATCTTTCCGAGGAACGTACCCTAAGGGTTTTTCTCTGGACTCACTCAACACCCCAAGACTCTGAATCATGGCCTTGGAGAATCTGGCTTACCTCCTTGTCATGTGCTTTTATGTAGAAGGAAAAATAGGCATTATCTTCCCAGTCCTGGCCGTGCTCTCCACCAAAGCTGTAATTTAATTGCTCTTGGGTCCTTTTTCCACAGCATCAGCATACCTGCCTGATGACGTCAGCTATCCAGTTTGTCTTCGTGGCTTCATAATTTCATCGTCTAGCACATTTTCCACAGAAATCTCAACATGTTTTGCACACCAAGTTGCTTCGAAAGTGTTCTTTCTTGGCTGGTATGATAGCTCATACTTGTAATTCCAATACTTAGAGGAGACTGAGGCAGGAGGATTGCTGTCAGTTCAAGGCCAGCCTCATCTACAGTGTTATTCTTCTATGGTTATAAAGTAAACATGTGCAGCTACAGAGAGAGCTCAGCCCTTCAGAGCACTGGTTGTTCTTGCCGAGAACCTGAGTTTGGTTCCCAGCACCCACATTGGTGGACTGACAGCTGCCTATAATTTATATTCCAGATGGGGGTGGATGTGACTTCTTTCCTTTCCTGGTACACACACCCACTCCCCCCCCACCCCCAGTAGAGTTAAAAAAATATAAAGCCAGGTGGTGGTGGTGGTGGTAGTGGCGCACACCTTTGATCCCAGCACTCAGGAGGCAGAGCCAGGGGGATCTCTGTGAATTCATGGCCAGCCTGGTCTACAGAGCGAGATCCAGGACAGGCACCAAAACTACACAGAGAAACCCTGTCTCAAAAAAACAAAATTAAATAAATATATATATACATATATATATATATATATATAATTTTTTAAAGCAAATAAAAAGAATATGTGTTTGTTACAAAGAATTCAAAAAAATACGTAAAAATCTGAAGGGTCAGCTTCCCTTCTATTACTAGTTGTAAGTCTCTGGCTCCTTAATTCTAGATGAGAAGCATAAACTTGGGTTGGGGATTTAGCTCAGTGGTAGAGCGCTTGCCTAGCAAGCTCAAGGCCCTGGGTTCGATCCTGAGAGAGAGAGAGAGAGAGAGAGAGAGAGAGAGAGAGAGAGAGAGAGAGAAGCACAAACTTAATTGATGCTCTGAACAGTGATGAAGAGAAGAGTGGTGTTGGAGGCCGTGATAGTTAACATGAACTACCACAGGACCTAGAGTCACTCAAGAGACAAATCTCTGAGGATGTCTATGAGAAAGTTCCTAGCTTGGGTTCACTGAGCTTCGGCAGCCCCATCCTAGACTTGGGTAGCTCAGTCACAGGCTGGCGTCCCATCACGTGACCTGAACATCGGCATCCCTCACTTCCTGCTTCCCGGCTGCTGATGGACATGGCCAGCTGCTTCAAGCCCTGCTTCCCTCGGACTGTGAGCGGAAATAAACCCCTCCTTCCTTCTAAGTCGCCTTGGTTGGGTATTTTGTCGTGGCAGTAAGAAAGTAGTGGGGTGCTCTGGGGATGTTTGCCTTGATGAGTGATGGACAGTCGCTGATTAAGTTACTTTTGTGCCACTATGATAAGACATCTGACACAAACCTTAAGACAGGGGGGATTTGTTTTGACTCGCAGATTGGAGGGGCTCAACCGGTCTGTGAGGGCTTGGCCTCACAGTTTAGGCAGAACTTCATGATACTGTGAACATATGGTGTTGTATACTTCTAAGCAGACAAGCAGAGAGAATGGAATACAGGAAGAGACCAGGGTAAGATATAGCCCCTAGAGATATACCCTTGGAGACCCACTTCTGTGGTGGTATTTTG